TCATATTCTCTCTCCACCCACAACCTTCTCTTGTATGTTTGGTTGTATGTTTCTCACAATGAATTGGTTGTTGGAAACTGGCTTTCTATTAATTCCAAATGCCATTGTGAAGATTTTTAATAGCTTATAAAATTTTTAATTGGCTGAGCTGTAATGTTGATATATTTTTTATAAATGTTATCATTAACAAGTTGATTCATATAAAAGCCTTGGAACAATACCTGGCATATAAGTACATGTTTAATAAAGATTAACTTATTATTTCTGCTGGGCACGATGGCTCACGACTGTAATCCCAGCATTTTGGGAGGCTGAGGTGGGCACATCACTTGAGGTCAGAAGTTCAAGACCAGCCTGGGCTAACATGGTGAAACTCTATCTTTACTAAAAATACAAAAATTAGCCTGATGTGCTTGCTTGAACTTAGGAGGTGGAGATTGCAGTGAGCTGAGATTGTCCCACTGCACTCCAGCCTGGGCAACAAAGTGAGACTCTTGTCTCACAAAAAGACAAAGAAAAAAGGAAAAAGATTAACTTATTACTTCTGATGGTATTAGAATTGTTTTATTTTTTATTTTGTAGACAGGGTCTCACCCTGTCACCCAGGCTGGAGTGCAGTGGTGCGATCATGCCTCACTGCCACCTTGAACTCGAGGGGGCCCCAGTGATTCTCCCATCTCAGCCTCCTGAGTAGCTGGGACTACAGGTGCATACTACCATATCTGGCTAATTTTAAAAAATGTTTTTGTAGAAATGGGATCATGCTGTGTTGCCCAGGCCGGTCTTGAACTACTGGGCTCAAGTGATCCTCCTCCCTTGCCCTCCCAGAGTGTTAAGATTACAGGTGTATGCCATCATGCTCATCCAGCATTATTAATTAAAACAATTTGGTAGGAGATGGTATGAAAGCAGTGTGGTTCAGTAGAAAGGTCTGTGGATCTAGAATTGGGAGACTATTTTAATTTTGGATCTGATATTTACTAACTGTAGGAACTTGAGCAGATTCCTTAGTTAATTTCCTTGAGTAAGTTTCTTAATTTTAAAAACATTATAGAGGAGTTAAATGAGATAATGTATGTGGAAAGTATTCCTAGATTATAGATTATTATGTAATTGTAAGTGCGGCAGCAATCATAGGTGTGTTTAGAGACTACTAAAAAATGGTTTTCTCCTACTTTTAATCTTGTCTCATGTAAATTGGTGATAAATTCTCAGCCTGCTGTGGTATTGACACTTGATAAACAGTTTTTGAAAATGAATTTACTCCCTCATTTCTTCTATGTCTATTTTTATCTGCAAAGTGGTGATTTGTGTTTGGGGACCTGAACAATTGATAGCTAAGCATCAAGTTTAAATTACTTAATGAATTGATGATTGTGTTCATGAAGCACTGTGGTGGTTTGGGGGAAGATGACATTCTAGCTTATTGTTGGATGCATCAGGGGACTTGAGTTAATTTAGCTTTAAGCTTTCCAGATTATCCTGTCTATGAGCTTCACAAGGGCGGGCCACATCTCTAGTTCACCATGATATTTTCAGTGCTAGCTTGGTGCCTGGCACTGGGGACAGAGGGAGTCCCATTGATATTTGTTAATTGACCACCTGGTTTTCATCTGACCAGACTTAGGTCACTTGTGTCAGAAATACAATCAAGGAAAAGTTGGGTGAAGGCACTAAAATGGGTTTCTTTTGGTTTCAGAGGGAGTAATAATAAAATAACAGTAATAGCTTCTGCATTCATGTGGAAGTAGGACATTTAGGTGAAAAGTACATTGGGCCAGAGGTATGGAGACCTAGTTCCTAGGACTGGTCCTTTATTAACTAGTAGAGATAACTTTCAGAGAGTTACTTAACCATTTTTGGCTTCAGTTTCTTCCTCAAAGGGCCTGTCCAGCCCTATGGCAAATGGTTAGTTTATTCTGGAGCAGAATTACTGGCTGGAAGGAAAGTAACAGCAATAGGACTTGAGAGGGCTTCACAAATATATTGAGATTCCAAATGAATTAGTTTAGAAACAGCTATATTAGGTCATATCTGCTTGGATGGGGAGAACCCAAGTGAGTTGATTAGTCATTGGTGTTTGAGAAATGAATTGAATATGTAGAACTATTTCTTTCCCAAAAGAGGGACTGTCTTGGGAAATAAATCAAAGGGGATATGGGTGATATCTTTGATTCATCCCCTATCTAGTGCCAGCAAGAACGGGTTTCTTTTTTTAAGAATGGGTTTCATGTAAGCCAAAAGAAAACTTGATTGTTCTGAACTTCTGTGTATTGCAGGAGTTATAAATACAGTATCAAGAACTATTTAATAAGAGCCCATCAGCAATGCCACATTTCTCAAAACCAGGACAGGATGAATGTATGACAATCATCTTACTGAGAATTGGTAGGACAGTAGGGATAGTTTAGTCACTATGCTTCCATGAAGAGTCAGTACTTGAGGG